TGGATGCTTAGGGGATGTTAGGAGGGAGCTAAAGATGCTAAAGAGTCCCGGAGCTATGAGATATACTCTCCCTCGAACTAACATGGAAGTGGAATTCTTGTGTCTTCCAATGGGCCAAGACTTCCACTTCCATTCTTGTTAGTTCCAGGGAGTGTATTCCAAATGAAAAAGACTAAGGGGTTCCTGTTCACCACTTGCTTCGTCCACCACTCAATTGCTCTCCTGATTCGTCCGTTCTCCACGTGAGCACCCCGTGCTCGAGGCTGGGAAGTGTCGGTCCCACATGGTCCAACTGTGGTCGTTTGGTTTCTGGGATCTGGTGATTGGGAGACCTGGCCCTCCGGTGCAAGTGATTCGACGCCCAGTGACCAAAGAGCCTTTAACAAACTGTTGAACTGACGAGAAAGACACCTTCAAAGTGCAAGGTCCTCTGCGGCCCTCGTGGCGCTCGTGAGGCGGACGCTGCGGCCCAAACGCGAAGTTCTCGCATGATGGGGCGAAACCGGACGAGCGCCTTTCAGCAGACCAAGCCCAATTCTGGAAGCCAGTTGGACTTGACGAATGCTCCCTTGCAGGAGGCGCGAACTGAACTGACAAATCTGACAACGGTAGTACTAACGGTAGTATTGTAGAGGAAAGCCGCGCCCCAGTGCATGCTAGCTGTTAGCTTCAGAGTGTTGTCGGGAATTAGCGACCGTTTTCCGTCGATTGGTAGTTAGATCGAATAGATCGGGATCGGGGTTGTTCTTGCTTCGCCATACTCCGCGGTTGACCGACTTGGTCCGAGCGACCGGCTCCACGGGCGCGGATCGGTTGAGGCCCAGCTGTGAGGGTTTTGGCAGCTAGTTCTTTCCAACCGGCCAGTCTCGAAGTTTGACCCTCGTTTGGTTAGATACTAAGTAATTGTTTGTTTTCAGTGCAGCTTGTATAGACTTGACTGACCCCTGCCCCCGGAAACAGAGGCAGCTGCGCGAATCTCTCGGTTGGCACCGAACTTGGGTACCGGTACAAATATAATCAAATATCTTATTAAATATATACCGGACCCTTCATGTCGGGGTTCTCAAGATCCACAAGTAGTGTAGGGTCTATTGGAGATCCCGTTTTGAGGTGCCGGTATCTCAGTTTACCGTTTTTGTAGCACCAAGTCATGATGTGTTCGGAACCAAGTCATGATCGTCAGGGTGACTCATGTAGGCCCCAACAGTGCCCAGATCACGCGCGCGCCCTCAGGTGACCATCAGCAACGGCCTGAGTCGCCGACGCTTGGGGACAGAAGGTCCGAAAGGGTGGCTGAGGAAGGGGAGCTGAGCAGAACACGGCAACAAGTCTGACTAAATGGGCCACAGAACAGGATTTCCAGCGTTTCAAAGGCTGATTTCACCACCTTCTCCACCGTGCGGTGCCCTGTCTGGATGCCTAATTAGGCCGGTAGTGTGGAAGATCGTCCAGCCAGGACACCCCTGTCGGGTCGGGTCGGGTCCAGGCAGAGACCACCTCTGTTTGAAAGACCTGTCGACAACCAGCGGTTCCAGAGACCCCGCCGCGTCGTCCGATTGTCTCGTCCGAGCTGGGAGAGGGTATCCGTATCTCGGTCGTCGCGACGGATCTCGAGACTCCCGAGGAGGTCGAATGGAAGAGGGAACAAAAAACCCGAAGAACCCCCGTGTTTTACGGAATTGAGACACCAATTAGGGGGTTGCATTTTGTTATTCGTTTTAATTTTAATTTACATTTGATTTTACATATGTTATTCATACGACATAGGGAGTGACTGCAGGTTTTTAGAGCGGCTCATCTGTTTTCAGAGAGTTCCCCGGTTTTTTTTGGGTCTTTTCCGATGTCGACTGGGCTCGCCTTTGGGACAGATGTCGTCCCCCGTCGACGGGCCCGTGCAGCGAGCAGCCCCAGATGCTCCGTTCACAGTCAAAACCTATAGGAGAGTGGTTCGGGTCTGGACCTCTCCAGAGGATTCGTGTACGGCCCCGGGCCCCTACTGAATTAGGAGGGTTCAGACGTAGCATCTGGGTGAATCTTTGAGAAAGGGCTGTGTTTCACAGAATCCCCTGGAGAATCTTGAACCTCTAGATACCACAAACGAGGTGTGCCATTCATGAACGATGTGTGCCATCAATGATCAGCACGTGTTTCCTCTCTCTCCCCCGACCGGTAGGGTTTCCAAAGGGAAGTCGAATCCCTGGAGAATCGAATCCAGAGATCAGACTGCTGTGAGTCTGACTATGATTGAGAGCCGTTCCAAGGAACTTTGCACCTCCTTTGGCATTTGGCGAAAGTGCCTGATGTGCCGAAGTTCGATGGTGAAACGCCCTCTGACCTGAGTCTTCAGAGAAGCGCATGAGAAGCGCAGGATGCCGAAACATCGATGTTTGGGAGGCATCGAACATCATCGAGCATCGAGCAACCGTGTAGGGAGACTCACACCAATGCCTCCTTTGGGATAGGATAGAATCAAGTCTCAAAATGAGGAGCCGAATTGGTACACGATACAACTTTAATCAACTTGTATAAATATCAAACACCATATTTCATCATATTTCAACGTTGGACCATGTTTGGGATGATGCCATTGTTATAGTCAGATGACATAGATCACCACATGTACCTGACCATAGAGGCACACTTGATCTAATCCCCCCCGCTTGTGCTTTTGAAGAACATTTGCCCGTCAATACAGGGTAGCCTACACTGCGATGGCCATTTCAAGAATACAACTGCGCACCTCTATTACAAAGTGGTCTACACTGCTTCAACATAGATGACCAGCACAAGGATATATGTTGGTCTCATGTTCCATTCTATTTGTTGCCTTTTTTGATCTTTTTTGTGGGTTGATCGGTTTTCGATCCAAAACCTTGTTTTCGGTCATGCATCCAAAGCCTGGCTCAGGTTGTTGCAGAGCTACTTGGAATGCCGTTTCTTGGGTCTGAGCAATGTGGAAGCGTTGACCACACTCGGAGGCAGCTCTCCTTTACAGCTCATCCAAGCAGCCGAGCTTTGGAGCGAAGGTCCGGGGAAGGCGAAGGCAACGGATCGGACGCACCTCCGTGCCTTAGAAGGCACCCCTTGGCTAAGGACCGGACGGCCCAGGTTTGGATCCGAAGATGTTGAGCTTTGACCTGATGACCTGGGTTTCCCGAGTGTGTCCCAGAAACTGATGCTGGATGGAACTCGCCAATCAAAACCACTTGTTATTTAAAGGATCTCAATTTCCATATTGGAACGACCAGAACTGTTTCTGGTTGGGACTGGGCTTCCAGGATATGATGCTTCCTGCGCCAGCAAGAGGATCCTCACAGATACCAATTGGTGGCGAGCTTCGATTTGTTTTCCCAAATTCTTGTGTCTTTCCATATCCCGAAGAGAAGGCATTGGTTCACAACCAAAAGGCACCCGGTTTAAGACGTGGCTAGTTCTTGAAACCTTAATTACCCAAATAGGTGGAGACTATGGTTCCTACTTCTCTTAGAACCAGGAGATGTCATGGCATTTTGGAGTGCTTCAAACAGCTCAACTTTTCGCACACACGAGGGTGAGGCAAGTTGCAAAGCGGATCCGGACATAGGCCCAGGCCGGCCCAGGGGGACCAGGACTCCCCGGACCGTGATGACTCGTGGACCGCGCGCCCGCGGTGGTGGGCGTGGCTTCCATGTTTCGTTCGTTGAAGTGGGTCACTCACGGACGCCAGGCGATCCGGAGGTCTCTGAAGATCGAGTTGACATTGAATCGGGAACATTGGTTCTACCGGTATTGGTTCGGTGTAATGTTTCAGGTGTGTTCAACTGCCACACCCGGTGGTGAGGTTTGATCAGTTTGATCAACATGAACATGTAGAGCTTCGGCCGCTCAGAGCTTTTCATCAAAAGACCTGCTGATAAGTGCCATGTGGGCCACGTCTCTTGACTCTTGTTTGGCATGACAGAAACTACTGTAGAACCTTTGCAAGAAACAAGGAGCTGCATCGCTTGCAAAACCTTGAAGCAACTCCCCAGAATCTCCTATCTTGTGACGCTTGTAGAGTATTTCATTGTATTGAAAATCCACAGCTCCTCGTTCTTTTCTCATCTTCCTCCGACCACGAATGACGAACCCAGTTCGCACGGGAACCTGGGCGGCTTTTGCGCTGTCCGACGAGCGGCTGGTTGGAAATATGAGACTGGTGGATGTGATTTTTAGACTTAATCTTATCTACCAGGATCACCCTGTCTGGGTGTCCTGTCTAGAGGTCCATAAGTAGTGTAGGGTATTCTATTAGACCATTGGATGGCCCGGGTAGGTGAAGAAGAGGAAGTCTAGACCATCCAAGCGACCGAGCGAAGAAACGAAGAACCGAAGCTCTCAGGAAGATGCGATGGCTTTGCTTCCGCCCGATGACCAAGCGCATTTGGTGCTGACAGAGCTGAGCAAGCGCTGGCGATTGGAAGAATTCGGATTCCTACCGGAGCCCCTGAAGCATGCCTACCTCTGAAGCTGCGAATTCAGATCCATCTTCTCTTTGCATCTGCCGCGGCGGAGTGCAATCAGAGACAGATTCATTTTTGGGGCCAAGGAAGCGGGAGCGTTTTGGGGCGCTAAATGCGCTCATGTCCCTTCTGAGGTGCTTTTTTCAAAAAAGAAGATATTCAGATTAATATATGGCTGTGTCTCAAAGGAGCACAGGGGAAGGCATTCCAACAATGCCGGGACTTTTTTTTTGGCAAAGCAGATGACCAGTTTCTTGATGTTGTGGCCGAACCCCTCCTTCCCGTTTTGAGACACCTCTTGTACAGACGCCGTTGAGAATGACGTGTCTCAGACTTGTACACAAACGAAGGCATTTCCTCCAGCAGGCCTGTTTGCCGGGTGGAGGAGAGGCGCAGCATGGCTCAGCCATCTCAGATGGCCAATGATGTGGAAGCGGTGAAGCAAGCTTGCGGAACAGCTTGGGGAGTCAAAGTGTAGCAGCTTCATCAGCCTCAAAGAGGGGGACCAAGATTTTGGGAGGCTTGCTTGAACATTCTTGTACCCCTTCGAATGGGTACCCCTTCGGTACATCCATCTCGTTCCCCTAGTCCGACATCCATCTCTGTGTCCGTCCGGCTTGGTAGGGTCTGGATTGGTGATTTGCTTGCCACATATGGCAGGTGGAATACTCACCAAAGTGGCTGCGCGAACGTGACGCTGCAAAGGCGAACTGGGAGACTCTCGCACGACGGACTGGGAGACCCTCCGGCTTCTGCTAGAGGGTTGGCGAGGCAAAATGTGGGGGACAGACCGGGTACCCACCCATCACAGAAGTCCATGAAGTTTTATCATCTTCCAGGTTCTTTTGATCGATTGTCAGATGTTGGATCTGCAGGCCAAGGAACAGCTGGACACAGATGGCAAGCGCAGATCTCAGCGAGAAACACAGCACATCTCAGGCCAATCTATTGGTGGTGTAATGAAACAGGTCAGGTATGCCAGAGAAGAAGGCCCGTAAAAATGATGCCATCTTCCAAACAGCTTGGCTCCTCCTTTCCCACCAAGGAATCCCTGATGCCATTTGATGCCATCTGATGCCTTTCCCGTGGTATTTTCAGCCCTTGTCATCGCAATGGGTTGAGACTGGATTCTGAGCAGTTCTAAAGTATCTTAGTCTCACAGGTCAACCTGCCAATTAATCGGTTGGCAATTCGAAGGCCATTCGAAGGCGCAGCTTCGAAGAAAAAAAGGTGCTTTGCAAGGTCAACATCCAAAAAGATCCTGTTTGCAACGTACTTGGATTAGTTGAAGCCGTATCTCAACCTGTGAACATGCAGAGGTTGCAGAACCCAACTCTAGGAAAGTCGTAGCTGTTCCCAGAAACGCACATGAAACGCACATGATTTGCTTTAATTTTATACATTTTAAGCTCAGCATACTGTGAATGATTCGTTTCGCACGCAGTCGGCATGCGTTCTCAACCATGGCATGCTTCGGCCTGGCAGTCGGCCACGAAGCAGAAGAAAAAGGAGGAAGCGACTGATGACGCGCTTGCCTGGACGCTGAGGTCTTGGCATTGTTTGGAGTCTTCCTTTGAGGTTGGAAGGGATCGACGATGAACAACATGCCCTCGCTGCAGAAATGAGATCTGAAAATAACCGTGGTTTGCTTTCCTCTTGATTTGAGATCTCGGTGAGGATTTCATTCTGGTTTTCGCTAGTTGAAACATGTTCAGGATGGTCCATCCTCCCTGACTTCCCACAAGACTTCCGCGACTTCGCTCACGTGGTTTTGGTCGGTTTGGTCGTAGCTCAAACTGGAAAGACGAGGATCCCTGTTTTGTCCCCCGTCCACCGAGGTGTTGGGGACCGTTCCAGTTCTGGTCGACCTTCGTCTTCCCATCGGGCCGACCAGGTCGATCGACCATCGGTCCGATCCGGATCCGTTCGAGATCCCGTAGGCCAGTGCTGCGAGATGCGGTGAGTCTCACAGGAGGTGGCGGTTTTCGTCCAAGCCGACCGTTCGTTCGAACGGTGTTCGTCTGACCGGGAGGAGGCGAACGGGAGGAAGAGGCAGGAGGTGAAGGGATGGTGAAAGGCGGTAAGGAGGACACGACTGCATGGGACTGGCGTAGGACTACAGCACCAGGGTGGTAGATTCAATGACGGTCTAATCTACCAGCACCCTCCAACAGGCTGTTAGTTGAGGGTTGTTAGTTGAGGGTTGTAACAGGTCTCAATTGGTGACCTGTCGGAGGGTGCTGGTATGTGTAAATAAGCTCTATGAAACCATGGGTGTTATGATATCCCATAAAATGGTTTATGGGCTCACCGTGATTTTATAGAGCATGTATGTGTGATTGACTCAAAAACATGAGCATCAACCAGGCTTTTAGATGTTGCTGCTGAGGTAGGGTCCTTGATTTTATATACCCCTGAGTGTCAGGGACACCGTTTTATATCCATAACACCATGGTCAGGACCCCCCCCAGGGAATTTACACAGAGATCATATTTATATATATATACACACCATACATGGACATGGAGTGTTGGGAATAATTCCAATATAGCAGCACCACCCAGTTCGGGTGGTTCTTAGAAAAAACCTCGTCATAGCCAAGGATCTCATATAGGATATCGAATCATATTCGTCCTTTGCTACTGCAAAAATGGCTGCCATGTCTGGAGGACATGAAACCACGCTCTGACTATAAAGACGTTCAAGACATGACTGCTCATGACTGACTGCTCATGCTCTGACTGTTCTCCGCTCCCCAGGAACCGCGCACTCGCCGGTGGCCCCGGGGTCCGCTCGAACCGGTTGGTCACGGTTTCTGGATGAGTCACCGAATTGTGACACACCAACGACCAAGTAACAAACTGGTGGATAGCTGCACTGCTTTGGAAAGTGACATTTGGAAACTTGAGTTGTTCTTTGTTCTTTAGGGCTGGAACTATATAGATATTTTCAAGGTATGTTGCTTGACGGACTTTGCCAAGGGTTGCAACATATGCTTGGCCGTGAGATTGAATTCAATTAACGAGACGAGAATGTAGAAAACATGCCCCTCAGCATTTGCCCACCGGAAATACCTGCAGGATGGCCTCCACTAACCAGGGGACTGACCTGAATTACCAAAAAAACATTGTATCATCCATGAGCTATTAGTCTTGCTACTAGTAGCGATGGCCTCCACCGGTCGTAGCTTCTTGCTGGAACTCGTGCCAGGAGCTAGGTTCGTAGCTTCTTGTTCCTCCCTCCAACCACGGTTCCGTGGGGCTTTGCATTGGCCTGTCCGACCGGCCCCCCCCAAAAGCACCAGAACTTGCCAGTCCCAGTCCATCCAATCGTGGGATCTCAGCCAAGCCACGGAAGAACCAGAGCTGTTTCTGCTTGGGACTGGGGAAACACCCAGGTGGGCGTGTTGTTGGGGGAGGTCGCTTCGCGCTGAGAGACGTGCCACACTACGTGTCACGTTGAGGCCAATGATCCAGGCAGCCGTCAATGTCAGGGACCGAGGGACCGAGGGACCATGCCACGAGTGTGGCGATGGCAAAGCAGGTTAGACCTGGGATGGGAACACACGGATGATCTGCAAAGCAGGTCTCCAACATGTATTAATGCATTTTCTGTTGTCTGCATGATTCAAACGTCTATATATATATATTAGATATAGACGTGACTTTCTTCAAATCGTTGTTCCTGGACTCCCAGGATTATCATGGATTATCCATTCAATTTTTTTAAGGTGCAACAAGCCACCGATAGAAGCAAAGAACGCACTCGTGGTCAAAATTCAGGTCGTTTTTGAGGCCCACTAGGCTTTGCTGTGATGGGATGATTCTGTGACCCAGACATGATATAATTAGTTCAGGATTTCGAGACAAAGCTGATTGAACATATTTGTTTTGAACGAGCCCGCCGGAGCTGAGGATATAGACATGGATTCCAAAGGTATTCTGTGGGTACAGGCGAGAGCACAGCAATGGAGTCTGGAGTTGTACAGGGATGAAGAAATGAAGATGTAGTCTTCGACTTCTAATAGTCTAACTTTGTGTGCAAGGTTTGTCCTGTGAGGTATACAAACAGCATGTCCCAGATTTTTTGAGATGTTATTGTTCGTAGCCATTCTCAACTCCAGCTTCGCCCGCTTTGGCAGAACACCAGCGAGTTCATCATTGGCGTCGTCTTAGTGATCCTTGCAGCCGGGACCCCGGTGTCTATTGGCAAAGCTCCCCGATTGGCACCTACATGTCTCAGTGTCTCCTTCCTCACCGTACCTGAGAAGGTACGACTGGGATTCTTAGGGCTCAGAGCTTTTGGTAACCATGGTCAGTCACCGGACGAACGGGTTGGACACGACCCTATAAGCAAAAAAACCGACTGACTTGACCCATTGTCGGTACGAACTCACAGGTCGACTCCAGGTACATGGGTTTGTAGCTCGATTGGTAGACGCTCCCACTCAAAAATGCAGGTCTTCGAGGTTCCCGACCCTTTGAAGATCTCAATTTCACAATCCAAACGAGTCAAATGAGTAATTGTTTTAAAATGCGACTCATTTTGTACAGAAACTCATTTTGTACAGCATGTAAACGTCATGTCGTGTGACACACGTTCTGCCCCATGTCTTCACACCTTAAGGTGGTCCTTTTGGTGAACCGTAGTGACTGTGCTCGAAGCAGCGTGGTTCCGAGTTGTGCGCCAGCTGGTTCTTTGAGCGGCAACTGGTCATGACCTTAAGACACCAAGCAGGTTTGTGCAGTGATTGGAAGCCTTGTGTTCTTGATTTTTCTTGTGGCCTTGGTCATTGTTTTGAATGCAAGATCAAGAAATTAGGTCATGGGAACACATGGGGTTTCTGCAAGGCACGCTTGGAGTGCCTGGTCTCCATAGGCACGGTGTTCCGTTTTCCGATATAGCAAGACTGCCCACATATCATGTAACACTTACTGGATGGGTTTCCATGAGCCTAGAGTCGGCCAAAGTACCTCAGAACATGGGTCAGTCGTCAGTCGTGTTTGTTGTGTGCCTCGGGAAACAATCATGTCCCATTGTCTAGGGTACGAACGACATCGGGTCCAGGTGATGATGGCAAGGATGCGGAGAATGTCACAGTGTCCCCCCCGAACAATCCATGGGAGTGGATTTGCCTACATTGACCCCTAAAGCATCTTAAAGATCCCCAACTGATCGGCAAATATTACTAGTATACCAGGAGTCACCTGGCCGTGCCGAACAACGGAGGGAAGTCGGGGTTGCTCACATCACATCCACGGCTGGATGGGACGAAGATGCCCCCCGGGCCTCCATGTGACTCCTGGTATACTGTAATATGGGAGTTCAACCTTAGGAGTCACATGGAGTCACATGGTAAGTCACAGTCATGGTAAGTCACATCGATTCGAATGGGAATTCAACCTTCGACCGACCTCACAGGACGCAGCAGCTGTGTGAGCGTCACGGACGGAGAGGCACCCGAGAGCACGGATGGGGAGACCCGCAGCAGGACTCCGCAGGGGAACGGAGACGACAGGGGATGCGTAGTGACAGGCTGGTCCTGCCCCCATCAGAGGACTGCCAAGTAGGGCAAAGTAGGGCAAGCACGCATTATGGTTTAACATGCTTCTGTAGATCTCCGCTGGCCAATTGTGGGACATGATGTCTGTTACTTTCAGGCGCTCTTGGTCGTTGTCCAAACCTCGCTTTCACCCGCGCGAACCAAACACACCTATAACATAGTATCCTACTGATAGTGGCCACACCTGATAGTGGCCACATACTGCCACCTGATGCCACGGGTTTAAGCCCACCACCGGCTGGGCTGGCTTCGCTCTGGCTGCCTCCAGTTCTTCCCCCCCCCCCCCCCGCACTGGGCTGCGCAGCACAGGCGTTGGCCGAAAACTACGGCCAGCTGGTGCACCTGAGTGGCCAGGCACTTCGACCGGAGACACCCATCCAGGAGACGTCACATCACGGGACGGAGCAACGGCATCGGTGGACAGCCACACCATCCGGAGCTGGAAGAGTGACCCACATTGGGTAGGCTTCTTGATTCATGCGGTAAATACCAGGACTGTTTCTTCTTGCCAGGTCTCCGGCTGAAATGCAGCTGATTCAGAGTCGCAGGTGACCTGTGAAGTCAGGTGCTGGTGGTAAATGTATGTGACTCTCCCAGTCCCATGGTCTGGGTTTGGAGGACGCTCTCTGTGTGTGCCACCGGTCTCACCGGGGCCCGCCCGTTTTGGTCTGAGGCGAAGAACCGAGCCTTGGGCTCCTGTGGGTGCCAGGAATGGTTTGGAGGGCTTATATACTTGGATCCCTATAGGGAGGGTCAAGGAGCGTCAACCCATGTGCTCCGGAGCGGAAACTCGGCGAAGCTCGAAGGAAGCTCGCTTCGCTCGCCTTCTTCGTGTCTACGTCTCAAAGAATCCTCCCAAAACGGACTCGACATCTTTGCATTCTGGACCTTCCTGAAAAGACCGTTCCATTTAGACCAGGACCTTCCAACAGCTGGTTATTGGACCCTCACAGGTGGTTTCCACACCTTTTGTCAGGAAACACCTCGACTGGGAGGGTCAATTTCGTGGGCCACTCGCTCTAAATCGCTGCAGGATCCGAGATTCATCTGCAGCCAGCTGGGCAACACCTGCACGCGGCTGCGCACGCAGGTTCAGGCGAGACGGACCGAAGTCTTTGGGGAACAGGCCTCACACGATCCCATGGTGCTGGAAGCGGCTGGAATGGCCGAGAAACGGCCAGGGTTGAGAGTTGAGACACCCAGCCAGGGTCCAGGACCGTTGCTCGGATGTCCTTTCACCTCCAAGAGACCATCCGATTCGGACGGTTCTGGACCCTTAGGGATAAGATGCTTTGAGGATCAATGTAGGTGAAATATTCGTGGATTGTTTGGGAGGTGTATCAGAGATCAAATTGTCGGTTTACTAGTAATAGGACTTTAACAAGTATAATACACTTGCTGGCACCAAAGGCACTCTTTTTGGCGACCCTACGAACTTTGACTACTTTCTTTTGGTGAAGACATTTATACTGCGTTTGTTGATCAGATTTGATCAGAAACAACACTCCTATAGTCTCTGAGGTGATATGCCTCTTTCACGTGTTTTTTTTTCTGTTTCGCATGCCTTTTTGGACATGTCGGACGGCTTTGGGGTTTCACCGTGCCTTTCCTGCGCCGAACTTTGAGGCGTTTCAGAGCGAGGGAGGTGCAGAGCTGAGGAACGAGGAACGGGTGCCGAAGCTGTGAAGTGCCCAAACTGCAGTAAAATGACTAACCCAGACGCTCCTGGACCCTCATATGCAGGGGTCGGACCCTGATATGGAGGGGTCTGGACCCTCAAATCCCTATGGTTTTGAGGGACCAACGGCTGTTTGGAGCGTCTGGGAAGCACACCTAAAAACCATTCCCGACATGGAACTGCTGGTAGAGGATTGGTTGGGTCAATGGTCAATGTCACACTTTCAAGGGTATGTTGGCTGAGCAGCTGAAGCTGCTTCCTGGGCATCGAACTCAAAACGTGGACTTTGTCAGACCATACGACACTCCTCGACATGAACCTCTCTTGGCAGACCTGCCTTAAAAAAATAGAGAGACATTGGTATCGTCACGTCATACCATTGTTGGACAGGGGAATTCACATGGATTCGCTCTTCTATCTCTTTGCGGCACGGCCAATACTCGTACTCGTACATACTCTCTTTGGTACGCCAGACGTATGCACCGTATGCAACATATCATAGACGGCCTTTTACATCCTTTTACTATAGGTTGGTTGGTTGGTTCGTTCGTTCATTCGTTCGTTGGTTACTACAGGGCATCACCTCAAGTGAGCAAAAGAAGGGAAAGGGTACCTAGCATCGACCCTCTACAATTCTCAAGTACGGACATAATTCCCTAGCCATTAATAATTCTTGACCTGGTGGTCCAGTGTGTAACAAATCCTCAGTAAAACCATGATTCTTTGGCAAAGACCCTTAAAATTATGGTTGTTCGAATCCTAGCGCATTGGTAGGCAAGACATCTTTGGGTGTTCGTGCTGAGGTCCAAGGTGGTCCGAGGACGGAAGATTCCGCCCTGTCGACTGGAAGAGATGCAGTGACAGGAAGACCCTGCGGACTTCCACCCGCAATGCATGTGGCAGATCTTCAGTTCGACCATTCAAAGGTTGGCCGGTTGACCTGGTCTCATCTCGTCTTCTGTAAAAAGCATGTAAAAACTGCTGGTTGTTTGGTAAAGACATGAACACGGTTGTTGGATGACAGTTGTTGGATGACCATTTTAAGTCTATAGAATTGGGGACCATGAGGTACCGGCTTAATTCCAAAGAGGATATTGTTGAGATTTTAGGGTAACTATGCCATACTATGCATTACTTTGCTCGTCCCATTTTTGAGTCTCTACGGTCGTCGGCTTTGCCGTCTCATGCGGCGAGTTCTCGCGTTCGTCCGCGACGAACGTGAACACAGTCCGTGTCCATGGACGTCCTATTCAACCAGTGGAGCTGGGGTTGTAGTGTAAAATCCTTTGTAAAACAGGTTGGTGGTTCAGGATTCAAACCATTGAAGTAATGGTGGGCCAGTTATGGCCTTTTGAGAGATGAGAAATGACCACAGGAATGACCAAATTCTCACCTCATCCACAGTCAGAGGGTGGGGTTCTGTGACCGGTCTGCGCAGCCGAAGCGCATCAGCAAGTCGCGGCCCTGCTATCGCTGCAGATATCACAGCCCTGCAGGAATATCATCTCAGTAGGTCTCTACATGAGTAAGTAGAACTTCACAAATTCACTCGATGTGGTTTTTAGATGCACTGGAGGTTCTTGACTGGAAATAGTTTGGTGTGTTCCAAAAAAGGAGCGTTTCTCCTGGTCTTCCACTTCAGCATGCTTTCATGGTCTTGGGTTCAGTGTTGCCTCTTCAGTTTCCGACGAACACATCCAGCTTTGCAGGACACGTCGGTGCGGAGACATCCAGCTTTGCCCGCGGGGCGCCCCTAAAGGACTCGGGGGAGACTTGATCAGGGCTTTGTGTGTTTGTTCCTCCAGCAAGAATCCTGAAGGAATCATATCGGATCGTGTGTTCACCTACTTGATTAGACTCCTGGGTTAGACTCAAGCACCGTTGATGAAAGGAAAGGGTGTGAATCACCTAAGCAGCCCTTGTTCTATACTTGCATGATCTTGCATGTTTTCATTTGATTTTTGGACTGCACGAACCAGGTCAAGCCGGTCCAAGCTTCTTGCATCTGGTCGAACGAAAGGCTAAGGTGGAACTCCGCCCTTCTGGTAGGAAGACCTCGTGCCTCTGAATTCGGAATTTTCATTACTTCACCCATCTTCACCCCAATCACCGAGCCAAGTCGCACGAGCTGAGTCCCCCGCAGACTCTTTGTTCGAGTCGTTCAGAGTCTGTCTGTCTCTCTCTCTCGCTCTGCGATCTGGCTTTTTGTTGATGCAGATCGAATTGGGGGCTGGTGCTGGATGCGTTGTGCTTGTCTCTTACGAGTCGGCTCAAGCGAGTCACCCTTTAAGGGCTGAGGACACACCTGGGACTGGTGTCCGACTCCAACTTCGTTCCAGTGGTCCGATCTCCAACTTCGCCTGAGGTTGGCACGACCGTCACCAACACCAGCTCTGTGACTTGTCTTCTTCATCTCGGGATGGTCAAGGTGGAGAGGAGAGGCATACCAAAGCTATATGTATACAGAGATCATTCATGGGCACACCACTCCCAGAGGTCCATCCGAACCACACCCGAGTGTCAATCCGTGGGGCCCGGGTGGATGGCATGGCGTTCTTGAAACGAAGACCAGGTTCCGAAGGCCAAACAGGTGGATGGACCTCCACGAAAACCATGGCGTTTTTCGTGGCGCGAAGTGGAGTCCACCTGCGACTCGGACAAAAGACCGCCGACATGGGACTCAGTGGCCGAGTCAGTGTGACTTGGGCCATGGATCCCTAGAGGTCCACGGTGGCGAAGCTGAGTTATATGGTAAACGCCAGGGTTGGGTCCAGTCGTAGCGAACCTGAGAAAGGTGATGAAACTTCTATCACCATCTACAGAATGCCTGAGGGGATCTACACATCCATGGATAACTGAAGTGGAGACCTGGATGGATCACAGGATGGATGATGACGGATGTGATAGGATCCACAGAAGCGTCAGAGAGGTGCTCCTCGCCTCCTCGCCTCATCTGATCTCCACCGATCGCCGCCGGGAAGCACGTCTCGATTGGATGGTCAATGCCGAGGGCAGCAAGACATAGCAAGACTCGGAGAGAGGTCGATCATTCAGGTGATCGTGGTTTTGTGCCAGAGTTTAGTCCCATCCAGTGAGTGGATGTGACAGTCACGGGCACCTCACCTTCGGCACCCTCCGTGTATCCCTTCGCAGCCCGACATGACACTCCTGGCAGGACCTGTCCACCTGTTTTCGTATGTAAAACATCTTCAGACGCTTCAAGACATCTTCAAGACTGACCCAAAGGCCCAGACGCACCGGAGAAACCGGTGAGAGGATATCAGACCCACGAGACTCAGTCCGACATCACGATGCCCTTTGTTGCTCTCCGCAGCCCTTTGTTGCTCTCCGCCGTAGGTGTTTCCGAAAGGGTCTGAAGAGGGTCCAGCTTTTTTTTTTTTTGAGACCTAGCCGACCCTTAGTAGATGATTGACCAACACGCTATAGCATGCTATAGATCTTCCAACTATAATTACAACACGTCTGCCTACATATGTTAGTTTGTTTTATACATGAACAGGCAGACATTTTGCATAGTTGGACATTGATTAATATATACAGACGTGCCTCCTCTCCTGGTGCCACCCGAACGTGTTGTTTGTTGCGGGTTTCCTAGGAAAGGATTACACAACTTCTGTTTTTTTCCTGCTCTTTTGCTTGTGTCTTCTTCTGAGGGGTGCTTGACATGTCTATGTCCACCTTCCACGGAAGTCCCACCCCTGCCCATCAGGTTAGATATGGCACCCACTTCTTGCTGCCCGATGGACTCCTCGACCAGCTGCCTGGCCTTGAGTCAGTCGATGGCCTCCTCGTGTGTTTTTTTGCGGTCCAAATGAATGCAAGGTGGAAAAGCGAACTTGCAAGTTTTCCACGTGGGTCAAATATGGTCAAGCGAACTGAACACGACGATGGAATCCAACTTCGAATGACTCCACATGGGACCGGGATACATTGACCCCATGGCATGATGGAATCTACTTCGAATGCCGCCACATTGGCCCCTGAAAGTACCCCAATGGGTGTGAATATGCCATACATGGAGTGTTTGAGGAACAGACAAACACGATCAAACACACAGGTGGTCAGTTGTGCCAAAACCATTTCAGGTTGGCTAGGGATGTGTGGACCCGCTGCCAAGTGACGGCAAGTGGCTAGTTGAGCAGACGGAGACTCTCTTCTTCAGGAGCTTCAACAAAATTCACCAGTATGAATGAGGCTGTGACTTACCAAAGCAACGTCTCCATCAAAGGGTGAGAGGCAAAGCGGCAAGGCGAAGTGGATCCTTTGCAGAAAGATCCTTCAATCCATTCTCCATCATTCTCCATCAAGACATGTGGACTCATGATTATGTTTGAACCCCTTTAAGAGGTTTCACATCCATTTTGTTTGCTTTTGTTCTTTTAACTTAATCAAACGTGTACATGATCAGTATCGGCTGCATTTTTGGTCCTTCTTGCTTTTCCACCCCTCCCCTCCCCAGCAGCTACAGTCCAGCCCCGTCGCCCATGTTCGCTTCCTCGCTCCTCACCTTCCTGCGCTGTCGCCCATGTTGCGACGCTCAGGTGCAACGATTTTCGCTCTGGAGCCAAGCATTTGGGCGACGAGGTGGACTCCATGTCGGGCGGAACGAACAACCGCGCTGTCGCACATGAAACACGCGCTGCGCGTTTTTGAGGGACCGTGGAAGTGAATGTTTGTTGGATGATGCCCACGTATTGCCTGCGCATGCCGTCCGCAATCTGCAGGTGTGCAGCCGGGATGGCACGATGCGTTTCCAGCAGCACAGGGACGGCTTCTTCTACTGGAGGCACATCATGCTCGGGACAACCTTTGGACAGTGTGTGCGCCAAACAAGCGATACCCGCAAGATTGCTGGACATCCTCCACTATTGGCTCCTTTCTTGGCTCCAGATAGCGCAAAACCAGAGGGTCCCTTTTTTCCAACGTCTTTCGAGATGACGCAACTTTAGCCATCCTGCTGCATAGATATACTCTCCTTGTTTGCTCCCCGATTTTGGGTTGGTGAACAGACACCCCTCACCTCTCAGCTGTTTTCACCCCCTGTTTCAGGGGGCTCTAGCACCGTTCATCCGATCCTCCGTTCACCTCTCCTTGAAGCGGGTCGCCGTCACGCCACCATGCGCTGGAAGACGACTCGCAGCTACGGAGCGAAGCTCGGGTCGCAGAAGGTCTGTTGTCCCGAAAATCCCTTCCTTGATCTACCTGGACCCGACTTCAACCTCAAAGTACCTTACGTAGAAAATGGCATGACCCCATAAAAAACAGGTACCCAGAACACTCACTGGATGGGACTAAAAGCAATTCCTTTGAAACGGCTTTTTATCCCCTAGTTTGAGTTCACAGAGGTTGCTTTGGAGGTCCTGGCCCCTATCCTTTCTGTCATATTTGCAACACTTTGTTATGGGAAATTCTGACATAGAATCATTTTCATCGACATGGTTGAGGGGGGGGGTCTGGGGAGAAAAACGGTAAAGGTCCCCTAGAATAATAGTACTAGAGGTTGAGGTGGGGGGGCCGGGTGAGGAATGGTTCTTCTATTGATTCAAGGCTGCATTCAGATGTTCAACCCCTCAGAATAATTGTGTGCAGTACGTGTGAAAGCTCCCCCGGAAAAATTGCTGCAATAATTTGTGCGCATGTATGGATTCTTGATCGTGCTTGATGCATGTGGGCTCACAAACAAACAAAGAATTCAAAGAATGAAGACACATGAACAAGTACATAAAAGCAGCCAAGAACACTCTTGAGATCTCAGAACGTATTTTCAATAAGTTTTTAGGTTTTTGATATTAATGGGTGTGGATTTGTGATCAGATGTAGCACCAGTGGCATGTACATGACATAGCTTGTATAGATGTATGTTTCACTGCAGCCGTTTGTTCAATCCGTTTGTTCGAGTTTGAGCTAAAAGTGTGCCTAAGCTTCAACTACAACCTTTGGGACTGTGACCCTACGTCACTGAGTTTAAGAGCCTAAATTCTCCGTTCATGGTAGCGGAGCCGCGGTTCTAAGACCCGGCTACCGTCTGCGAATCGAAGGTTGCCGAGCCGCATCGGCTCTGGCACCGGAGATCCACAAAACAAGCATCACTTGCAGGAAAGCCGGATTGCTTCAATCCCTGGCTAGCAAGTCAGCATGGCGCAACAGCCAGGAGCACAGGCACCACAAGCCACAGACATGGCACAACAATTTGCACAGATGATGCAAGCCCTAGCACAGGGGCAGAGCCAATTGCAACGAGCAATGGCAGAAGCATACACACAACAAACGGCGATTACAAAGAACATAGCCACCAGCGTAGAAGTAAGAGACAGATCAGAATTGAAAGGCATTCCAAAGCCTGACAAGTTCAGTGGACACACAGGTACCTGGGACTCATGGTACTTCAAGTTCAAGACTTGGATTGAGACAAGTCACAAGAATGCAGGAAAGTGCATTCAGCTCCTCGAAGAGCATCAAGACACAGAGATCAATGAGACATCTCTGGAAGACGATTATCCTGAAGGAGCCGAGCTTGTTTCAGCTCAGGCCCGACAGGCTCTAATCTCACTATGTGAGGGAGAAGCCCTCGAGATTGTCAAGAATACCTCCAGAGGTCAGCACTTTGGCCTAGAGGCTTTGAGACGATTGATCACTAAGTATGATCCACAGAACCCACAAGCAAACTCAGCTTTGCTGAAGAAGGTCCTGCACCCACAACAGTGTGCATTGGACAAGCTCAGAGAGAGCATAGAAGCCTGGGAAAACATCAGGCGAAAGTACGAAGAGCGAAAGAAGAAAGCTCTTGATGATGACATCGCAAGAAGTTGTCTTCAGCAGATGTGTCCAGCCAAACTTCAAGATCACCTTGACCTCCAGAGTTCGAGACTCACTGACTATGCCATCATGAAGTCAGAGATTTTGGCCTATCTCGAGAACATCGAGAGCCGAAAAGAAGCAAAGACTGGATCAGCACCAATGGATGTTGATGCACTAGCCGCAGCTGCCAGCCAGATGCAAGCTTCACTTGCAAGTCTGGCCAAAGCCAAAGGAAAAGGCAAAGGTGGCTCAAAAGGCGGCAAAGGAAAAGGAAAGAGTCAAGATGGAGGCAAGGGAAACGACAAAGGTAAACAGAAGGGAAAAGGTTCTTCATGGTCCAATCCCTCGTCATGGAACAATTCATGGAACAAGAACGATTGGTATAAGAATGATTGGAACAAGAGTAGTTGGTACAACCAAAACTCCAAGGGTAAAGGCAAAGGTGGCAAAGGAAAAGACTCTAAAGGTAAAGGCAAGAGTAAGAGTAAGAAGGTAGCTTCAGTGGAGGAATCTGAAACCTCTATGGCTCAAGAGCATCAACCCGAGCCTGAGTATTCCGCTGATATCGCCACCCTCTTTGCCATCGAGATGGAGAAAGCAGCACCTGCAGCAATTTCTCGTGGAGCAGCCAAGGCAAAAGCCGAGACTGAAGTCAAGGCTATGCCAAAGAAGCCAGGAGCTGGAAAAGGTCGTCCTGGAATTGCAGCTGCTGGGATTGCTGTCATGAACCAAGCAATCCAAGAGACCATGCAGTCAAACCGCGAATTGTATGAGAAGAAGTCTGAGACAATCCAGAAGGCCATTGAAGAGGCTGAAGCTCAAGGCAAAGCAGCCAATGACGCCATCTTGGAGCAACAGGCCGAGATGAAGAGGCTGAAAGAGCAGTATGAAGAAAAGGAGAAAGAAGCCAAGATTTTGCTGAAGAGGCCAACTCCTCGCCGCGCCGCTTCGGTTCCGGCGGAGTCGCCAAGGCTCTCAGCTGATTTGGCATCAGGCATGGACCCAAGATTGGCCAAGAAGAAGGAGAAGAGCCGTCAGCGTGCCGAGCAACATCGCGTTGACAAGGCCCAGGATCGATTTGAATCCTGGCGCGATTATGAGGCCAACTACCCTGAGGAGCTCGACTACTATGAGATCGCTCGTGCCAAGGGTACTGGTCGACTCCAAGCTTGGGATGATGAAGATGATGAGGGGAAGTTTGATGAAGCCCCTCAGCCTCGAGGTCGAGAGAGAGCTCAGAGGCATCGTGGCTACAAGAAGCCAGCAAAGGCAAAGAAGCCTGAAAAGCCAAAAGAGAAGGAGCCCAAGTTCGAAGATCTTTCCACTCAAGAGTTGGCAGAGATGAAGCGGGAAAGCCAGACATGGACGGCTACTAGCCATCCAGCCCGCAGTGTCATCGACAAGGCGCTCACTGCTGCTGGGTTCAACCCAGAAGACTATGTTGTGATGAAGCGCGTCGAAAGCCAAGGTGAAGGAGCAACAAGCGCACCATCCTTCGCAGCTCCAGTCATGGAGAACATCGATCCCCTTGATGTGACTGAGATCGAGGGACTTGAAGAAGAAGAAGAATTTGAAGATGAAGTTGAAGAGGATGAGAATGGCACTGAGCCAGCTGACGATGAGTCAGATGGACAAGAGGAAGAAAAAGAGAAAGACACCGTGCCATGGCTCGATCATATGTTCCAAGAGCGCATCCTCAGCTATGATGAATGGGTAGCCAAATGCACCCACAAGGACAGAGATGGCCGCAAGAACATGGTTTGCCGTGCGTGCAACAAGGTCCTGAGGTGTGACAACGACACCGGCCTATGGAACCATCATATGGCTTTGAATTGCTGCCCACCAAAAGTCCTCAACCAGTGGGCAAAGGAATGGACGATCAAGCAGAAAGAGATGGGAAAGCGCATCAAGACTGCCAAGGGACAGCAAGGCAGCCCAACTTCAAAAGATGCGCCAAAGCATGTGAAAGATGCCAACATGGATCTGAAGCCCGAAGATGTGGCAAAGCATTTGAAGATGAAAGATCCAAAGCTTGAGACCGTCAAGAAAGAACCTCCTTTTTACATGACTGCCCATATGCAGAAGATGATGGAAGAACAGGAGGAGGAAGACGATGTTGGCCCAAAGACGCCAAAGCAAAGGCGCATTGCCAAGACACCTCCACCTCCTGAGAAGAAGGGCAAGACCAAGGAGGAACGCATGGCCTGGTTCAAGAGCACGACTGAAGAGCATATGGAGCGATTCCGTGGACCAGGACCCAAGCAAGAGGAATCCAGCGAAGCGCCAAGGCAGACGCTTCGGCTGAAGTCCCGGTCTCGATCCCCGGGGAAGAGCCGAGCCGCTTCGGCTCCGGCGACATCCGATAAGGGCCATCAGAAGGGCCAGGAGAAGGGCAAGCAGAAGAAAGTGCAGTTGACTCGAGCTGTCAACGTGGCCACTCAGGAAGCTGCCCGCGAGGCCAAGAAGGGAAAGGGAAAGCGATATCCCACACCTTCAAGCGAGCCTGAGGAAGGCGATGAAGATCCACTCGCTCTCAAGAGTTTGGAGCTGGCATCCATGGAGACGCCAATGGATCATCAGGTGACCTTGGATTCAGGAGCCGCGACCTCCTGCATCCCTGTTGAACTGGCCACCGCATTGGGCTACAAGCCTATCCAGTCTGAAGGCACCTCCAAAGTCTACAAGACTGCCTCAGGCGAAGTGGTCAAGGACCTTGGCAAGATCGACGCCAATGTGACCATCGGCATCGGCCAGAACTCCCTCAAGGGACGTTGCTGTTTCCGGGTGATGGCGGTTGCAAAACCGCTGCTCTCCGCGGGGGCCCTTATGAGCAAGGGCTGGTCCATTCAGATGCACGGATCTGGTGGACATATCTCCCGAGGCGGGACTAAGATCCCGATCTCGTTCAGCAACGGCGCCTGTTCTGTGCCGATTGCATTCCACCCTTTCGTCCGGCACCGCAATGGGTAAGTCCGGTAGTGGACGAACAGGCCGAAGAGGCCGAGCCAGGCGACGAAGTTCCGCTTGAGCTCAAAATCAATGCTCCCAGTCGCCCGACGCGAAAAGAGTTTGAGGAGCATGCTGTTTCACACTTTCCTTTTAGGTCTTGGTGTGAGGCCTGTGTAAGGGGAAAAGCTAAGGCAAACCCCCACAGGAAGATAGACCACACCGATGAGACAACCCCAGTAATAACTGTAGACTACTGTTTCATGTATTCACGAACTGATGATGTAGTTTTGGACGAGAAGACTCATGCACCAATTCTTGTTGTCAGAGATCGATGGACGAAGCATCTTTTTGCTCATGTGTTGCCCTACAAAGGTGTGACAAAAGGTCCATATGGATCCAAAGTACTTTTGAACGACATCAAGAAACTAGGATACTCCAAACTGATCATTCGACATGATCCTGAACCTGCCCTCACCTCTGTTGTTGAGGCAGTAAAGAATGGGTTTGAAGGAACCCTGATCATCGAGAAGAGCCCGAAAGGAGTCAAAGAGTCCAAGGGAGAGATTGAACGAGCTGTTCAAACCTTGGAAGGACAAGCCAGAACTCTTCGAGCCGCGATCGAGTCGAACTATGGTGAGAAACTTCCTGACGATTCACCTGTTTTGACTTGGTTGGTCGAACACGCATCCACAGTCTACAATCTGTTTTTCCGATCCACCGAACTTCAAGACGGAAAGACTCCGTATTCACGACTTCGTGGACGTGAATGGAAAGTATAGCAATTCCACCATTTGGTGAGGCCATCGAATACCTCAAGAGAGGTCACAAGTTCGAGGCCCAATGGACTAAGGGAATTTTTCTAGGAGTGAAAGACACCACCACAGAGAAGATAGTAGGAAATTCCACAGGCGTTTTTACAGTGCAGTCCATTCGAAGAAAGCCAGAAGAAGATCGATATGATTCAGAGTTGCTGAAATCGATCACTGGGATTCCCTGGGATCCTCAAGCAATTCGCGAAGAACCAGCGATTGCAGCCCCAAGGGAACCAGTCATTGCCAGTCCAAGTGGTGAAGCTTTAGTGCAACCACCGGCAATTGATGACAAGAAAAGAAAGTTGAGAAGACTTTACATCACCAAGAAAGACCTGGAAAAGTTTGGGTACACTGCAGGTTGCCCAGCCTGTGATGCCACACAGATTGGCAAAAGATCTACAGGCATTCACCACACCAACAGGTGTCGAGACAGACTTGAAGAGAGCATCAGAGGAGAAGAAGAAGAGAACCCAAGAGTAGCAAGACATGAAAGCCGAGTTGGAGAGGCAATCACTGGCATGCCACAACCAGTCAGTGGCAAGAGACCTCAAATCCTTCATGGATATGAAAGCAAAAGACCATCGGGAGTCCCCGATTCATGTCGGGTGTTCGCACGACTTGACGTCGAAGCTTATTGTTTTCAAACCACAATGCCAGGAGGACCTGATTGGTCTACCGTCTGGCACCGAGTCACAAGAAACCATGCAAACAATGCAATCATCGAGAGTGGAGTCATGACGACAGACCTTCCACCAGAGATACTCAATGGAGCATTACCACACAAGATGGATATTGTGACAGAACTGTGGTACGAACCAGAAGCAGCACCACCAACACCAGGCACAGCATCAGGTATTCGCAGACCACGCGAACCTGAACCACATGGAGAAAAGAGAGAACACGAAGAACAACATGAACCAGCAGGATCACCCACAGCAAAAGCCAGAGTAGATAGAGACAAGAAGAGAAAGGCAGAAGGCGAACATGAAGATGAAGCCGAGAGAACAAGAGACATCCAGAGCATTGAGATGGCTCTAGAAAGCCTAATCCTAGAAGACAGAGAGAGAGTGCTATCTAGCATCGACCCAGAGAAACCAGTGTGTGAAGAGAAGATCCCACTGCCAGAAGAAATGGCAGAAGAGGCAAAAGACTGGTGGTACTATGACGACATCAGTGGAAAAGAGCTTCTACCTGAGAAGGTAGAGAAAGCCAGAAAAGATGAGATCGACATTGTCGAATCAATGGGAGTTTGGGAGAAGATCCCAAGAAGCAAAGTTCCAAAAGGAACCAAAGTCATTGGAACTCGATGGGTAGATGTGAACAAGCAAGATGAAACCAATCCTCTCTACAGAAGTCGATTGGTAGCGCAAGAGATCAAAAGAGGCTCAGGTTTTGACGAATTTTTCGCAGCCATGCCGAGCCTAGCAGCTTTGAAGCTACTGCTAACCATTGCAGTCAGCGACAGCCTTCCATTGGAGAAAGGCGAGAAGCGAAAGACAAAGCAATCTTTCCTAGGATTTTTGGATGTGAAGAGAGCTCATTTCTACTCCAAAGCAACAAGAGAACTCTATGTTGAAATTCCATCAGAAGGCAAGAGACCTGAGGATGGAGATGTGGTAGGAAGATTGGTCAGAAGCCTATACGGCACCAGAGACGCACCCATGAACTGGGAACTGACCATTGCAGAGTTCATGAAGAAGCTAGGATTTGTTCAAGGCAAGTCCAACCCATGCATCTACTACCATGCATCCAGAGAACTTCGAACAGAAGTGCACGGAGATGATTTCACGACCGTTGGAAGTTTTGATGACATCAAATGGTTTCACACTTCAGCAGCCAAAGAATGGCAAGTTGTGGAACGAGGCATTCTCGGTCCACCAGGTTCACCAAAAGCAAGCCAACAGATCAGAGTGTTGAATCGCATCATCACCTGGTCGAATGAAGGCATTTGGTGGGAACCAGACCCAAGACATGCAGAGTTGATCATCAAATGGCTAGGCGCTGGTCAACCAGGCAAGGTCAAGACACCTTTGGCCAAGCCAAGTCAAGAGGAACTCCAACACGAAGAAGTTCCGCTAAGTGCCGAAGATGCAACGATGTATAGATCTATTGCTATGAGAGCCGCGTATTTGGCACAGGATCGACCTGATCTGCAAACTGCAACGCGCTCGTTGGCACAAGGTCTACAGAATCCAACATCGAGGCACTGGAATATGCTAAAACGATTGGCTCGATATGTCAGGTATCGACCAAGAGTTGCACAGTTGTTTCCAAACCAAAGCACCTGCAACCCCTTCAACATGTGGTCAGACGCCGACCATGCAGGTTGCATAAGGACACGAAAGAGTGTGTCAGGAGGCGTGCTCATGGCCAACAAATGCTGTCTCACTACGTACAGCAAAGGCCAAGGAGTTGTCTCCCTGAGCAGTGGCGAATCCGAGTACTACGGACTTGTTTCAGGAGCATGTCAAATGCTTGGAATCGCATCAACTGCAAGAGACTGGGGATTGTTTCCCAGCAAAGAGGTGACAATGTACGCTTCCGCTGGCATCGCCATGGGAAACCGTCGAGGCTTGGGACGAGCTAAACATGTTGACACTCAGTACCACTGGGTACAAGAGCGCACAGCAAAGAAAGAGTTTCGTCTCAAGAAGGAAGGCACCGACCGAATGTTGGCCGACGTGCTAACGAAAGCTGTCACTGAAGAGAAAATGACTACAGCCATGAAAGGCATGAACTTCCACTACCTGGAAGGTGAGCATGAACTGACTTTGAAAGCTTGAACGGCTTGAGCTAGAGTAGGTACTTCTTCAAGACCAAGATGTACTGAAGGGCTACGAGCTAATTCAGCACTTAATTAGCTAGTGAACAGTGCTAATCCTGACTCGCTTAACTTCTGGGAGATGTTAAACTCGGGAGGCGTGATCAGATGTAGCACCAGTGGCATGTACATGACATAGCTTGTATAGATGTATGTTTCACTGCAGCCGTTTGTTCAATCCGTTTGTTCGAGTTTGAGCTAAAAGTGTGCCTAAGCTTCAACTACAACCTTTGGGACTGTGACCCTACGTCACTGAGTTTAAGAGCCTAAATTCTCCGTTCAATTTGTGTGTGTTTTTTGATAGCCCATGCACTAATTAATTATTCCTTCTCCCCCGTGGGTTGCTGGAATACTTTCTGCGGGATGGAGCGGCGGAGGATGGACCATGGACGATTTTGGGGAATAGCTTTTCATGGTAAATCACATTGCGTGTTCAATTCTAGTTGGGATTTTGGAGCAGAGAACATCCGCCTTGGACAGAATGGAGAAGATGAAGAGTGGAAGAACAATGTTATCTCCAAAGAATGACCAACTGGAGCAGCCATTTATTTTGTTCCATGAACTTTGGAGTTGTCGTGGTTGCTTCTCAGTGCCTCGGATCCTGGAACCAGACATGGTCTTCTGCAAATCTTCCTGGGGATGCTGCCTGCGTGGGCGGAATGCTTCAAGGGAGACTGTATGTGAGATGTCAACAACGCCCGGAATATCTTCTGGCCTTCGGGTCTCCTGGAGGTCGAGTTTGCAGCGGAAAATGTTTTGCATAGGGTATTTGAGAGGTCGCTAACCCTTGAAATATCTTCTGGCCTTGCTGTGCTGGCCCCAGAAAGGTGCAACAAACGTTTACGTTGCTCCATGAACTTTGGGGCAGTCATGGTATCTTGATCTTGCTCGGGTGTTTCAAAATAACAAACGAAATCAACGATGATCAGAGCTGGCTCAAAATCCAAGCTGTGTTGTACATGTTTGCATGCATCAAGGGATTGTTTCATTTTTTTGTTCAACACTCAACCACGCCAGGAGTAATTTTCAAAACTGAGGTGTATGCAGAATAATGAAAGATTGTATTCCAGGGTATAGTCACGTGGTCGCCGAGCTAAGGCATAGGCCATTTTGTTTAGTTATACAATTGTTTCCAATGGTATGATGGTATATGTATGCAAAGATCAATCGACAGACAGGGTGCGGGGGCCCGTCAAAAGTTTCTCGGAATTGTTTCTTGATCGTGTACACGCCTAGGAATGGTACGAAACATACACATGTAACCCTACCAGAATCATTTTTTGTTTATTCCTACGGGTGGTCCCCCAGCTATGAGTGGCTTCTCCCCGTCTTCGGACCGCAGGCCAGGTCATGAGACATGGACTGCGCAGCAAGTGGCGCAGGCAAGGTGTCCTTGTATGTTTGGGTGAAAATGGATCGGTATGTGGAGTTCATTGGAACCAATATCTCTCTAGAAGTGTTGATGATGGTGATGATGATGATGTTGATGGTGATGATGTTGATGATGACGATTATGATGCTGCTCCTGCTCCTGCTCCTGCTGCTGATCATTGATTATGATTGATGGTACACAAATCGAGAGAGTTACCGTGACCAGAAAGAGTTATGGTTGTTCCAATATGGTTTTCTTGAGATCCTTTACACATAGTGACTATAGTGGCGGGGACCCGCAAACCATCCAGACTCGTTTCTGGTTGTTTCGGTTTGCAGGTTTTCTGTTTTGAAGAGTCAAGCTGATCAACCGAGACGGCCTAAGAATCCAGCCCTCAACGGGCTCTTGATTCTCTTGAGGGTACAGACCTTTCAGCTCTGGGAATTGGAAAGATGCAAGAATTCTTGCATTTATATATGTTCGTTCAAGGAATCCACGGTTTCAGCATGTTTCAGCAGACTTGTTGTTCACCTTCGAAAGGAGATTTTTGGTCGACTCCAGAAATTGGTCCGACGGAGTCTATGGGAGGGGAAGCTAGCTGGAAGCTGCAACCACTTCGTTCTCCAGCTGACTTACTTGGCTGCCCAGTCTCCGCCGTTGTCTGTCTTTCGTTATGTGCGATGCCTCCCAAAAAGTCCCCACCGCCATGATCTTAATAGACGGTCATCCCAAACAACCACGTTTTACGAAGGATCCAGGATTCGACACTACAATGCCCTGCTCAACCGATGGTGTGCTTTTCTTTCTTTATTGGTCACCACGTGTCGAGTGGGTGAACCATTTGTGGCCCTTCGCCAGCCTTTCCGCCAGCCTTCCAGGAGCCTCGTGTGGGCGACCAACGAGCTCGCTTTGAAGTGACTTGTGCGGGGCCGGCCACGATTCTGGCGCTCCAGGCAGGAAAAACCCTTGGCGAGCCGTTGGGCGAGCCGTTTGGGATCCATTTGGTTGGACGTGTCCTTTTTTGGTGTTAAAGAGGTGCAAAGTCTCAGTAAACGAAGGGTTGTGTAGGGCGTTTGTAGGGCTTGCAAGCTCGTTTTTCGCGCGACCGGAACCCCAAACAAGACCGGATCCCTCTTTCCTGCGTCCACTGAAGATGGGGAGCACCTGACAGGAGGCCTAGGCTTCCAACATCTTTCAAAGCTTTTGAGCTCAAAAGAGCTTGTCCCCACTGAACAACAAGGATTCTACATGACCATATAGATCCATATAATTAGATCCATATAGACCAATCAATAATAGTCTTTAGTTTAAGATATTCTAGGCTGGATGATAAACAACTTATCCCGCAACCCGGCAAAAGCCACAGGAAAGTCAAGACTCGAATCAAATTTTGCCCAAAAACAGAGACCGTCCATGAATGTCCATGACGATCATGAACAAAGCTTGGGGCTGTGGCAAGAAGCAAAGCATTCGACACCTGTACCCTCGATTGACTTTGATTTACTTTGTACTTGGCATCAAGAAAAAACTTTTTGTTTGGCAAAATCACATCTGTGTTCTGGCCACTTTTTTTTCAACTTGCACCTCGGCTGCCAAGCACATCCAAGCACATCCAAGCACCAGTATCACGGAGCCAACAGGGTTCAGCTTGTTCCACTTTTTTTTGTTCCCCAGATAGCGATAGTTATAGGGGGTTCTTGCTTCTCAATGACTGGGTGCCTGTATTTACTATCTGGGGTCTATGCCGGTGTCATTTGTCCGCCTCATTTCTGCTGTACGAGAGTGTCCTCCAACAGGGTCACAGACGCGCAGAAAATACCATGCATTTTGCACTGCTTTCATGTAGCTCGGCAGCATCTGACCAAGCTTCCTACAGCACCGTGCCGGTTATAGAAAGGTCCGCTAGGTAGGACTCTTTCTGGGGGGCTCATGTTCCTTCAGTAGATGGTTGCTCCTTCGGTGAAGGGCATTTCCGGCAGATACCTCCAAAAAGGCCGTTTGCCATGCCGGAAAAAACAAAACACTTGAGCTGCACGGGGAGTCAAAACCTGGAGCCCGATTGACCCTGGTAGGTGGACTCTAGAATAAGCTGTTCTGTTTCCGTGGAAAAAAACCATGGACAAACCGTTGAAAGACCCACACACGGACACAGCCACGTGCATCACATGGATGGCGAAGACCGAACGCCCATGGAGGTCGCCACGGACCAGCAGGCTCCCGCCACGCTGCTCCCTTACAGGCAGACTGCTGGGAAAGGTGGGTAGGAAGAAGAAGAGAAGTGAGGTTCACTATTTGCCAAGTGCACTCATGCAAGTGAAAGGACTGGTCGTGGCACTAGTTGTAGTTGATAGTAGTGGAAACTGGTTGCACTCATGTGCACGCGATTCTTTTTGGTGAAAACGGCATTCCAAATGGTGGATTCTGCCCTGATTCTTTGGATTTGGCATGATTCTGCTCCTGGTGATTTCAAGGGTTATAGCAGATCTTGAGCTGGCCATGGTCCACCTGGGTTTCCCCAGTCCCAACCAGAAACAGTTCTGGTTGGCTTTCTTGAGATCCTTTCCCACATAATTACAGTAGTTACTACAGTGGATTGAGAGTAGATGGCACAGACCCAAGAGGTGGTTTATATGGACCCCCATCTAAAGGACATCATGGGGTCTGTGCCATCTACTCTGAAACCAGTGTAATTATAGTGGCTGGGACTGGGGAAACATCTACGGACTGCTGCCAGAAGTTTCATGGAGTTGGGTGCGGACTCCATGGAGGCGGGTGCACATCCACCATCCACATCCACATCCGTAGGACGAAGCACACCACCCTGGCCTCCATGTGACTCCTAGGTGCGCCTTGTTTCTCTTATGACTGGTGACTGGATAAACCCTATAATTTCCCCAGTCCCAGCCACCATAGTCACTGTAAACAACCAGAACTTGATCTGGGTGCTTGGCGCTGGGTAAAGCCCGGGCCTTTCCGGTACATCCGAGTCCGACCGCCCGAGCGCTGCACAAGGCTTGTTCCGCATTTCCCCTTTGGCGAGGACGACAAGCAGCTGAGAGCCGATGAGCTGAAGGATTAGCCTGACCATTTCAGGGGGGGGCTGTGAAAAGGATGCGATATACATTGGCATCAAAGACCATGCATGCTCTCCATTTGAAGTCTCCACCTCTACCCTAGAACATGGGACATGACCTACTCTCTTGCCGATGAGAACAGCGGGTTCTTTGAAAACAGACCCAAGATTGAAGGTGTCCGGGATACAATTCTTGTTACGGAACACCCCTGCACCGAAATGGCCACATCTCTTCGCAGCACGTGCTTTCACAGAAGACCTGGGCATCCGTTCGCCCAGACCGCGGTCAGTCAAGCGCTCGCGTCTCCCAGCACCACCGGAGTTCGGAGTTGAGCTCGGGCGGTGTTCTTTGACACCAACAACAACTGCACTTCTTGCTCCTAGGAGCGTCCTTGCTCCTAGTAGTAAGGCCAGGAGGTTGTAGTAGCGTCC